AAAAATATATAACGTGATCACAAAATGTCAAATCAAATGGAATTTATGATGCAGCTTTATATGATGAACCTGCTGCAGCAACAACAACAACTGCAGCAGCAGCAACAGCAACCGCAACAACAACAACAACAGCTGTCAAGCTTTTCCTACACACAGAAAGAGGATATCAGCAGCAGCACATGCCTGCAACAGCAGCAGCAGCAACAACAGCAGCAGCAGCAGCAACATCAACACAAAACAAGAACGCAGAAAAGAACAAATTCGCAAAACACGAACTGTAGTAGTAGCCGTAGTTGTAGTCCCAATAGTAATTTGAATGCTTTATCACAACAACAATATGAGCAAAATGCTACAACACTAACAACACAGACAACACCAACAACACCTAACAACAACACAAACACAAACACAAACACTAACTTTGCCTATCAGTTGCCGCAAATGTTGCTGAGCACTTTGTCACCACTGACACAGTACATGTTGCAACAACAACAGCAACAACTGCTGCAGCAGCAGCAGCAGCAACAACAACAGCCGCCGCAGCAGCAGCAGCAGCAACAGCAGCAACATTTGCTGACAACATCAACAACAAACCTGCTACTAACCCCCAACACGCCCAGCTCCACGCAGCAAACGCTGTTGGAGTGTTTTCCCAGCTCCCTGAAAAGCGAGCAATTTCCCATAAATAACTTTTTGCAATCCTCCACAGTGACATCAACGCCAAACGAGCAAGCAGCAGCAGCAGCAGCAGCAGCAACATCTGCAGCAGCAGCAACAGCAGCAACATCTGCAGCTGGCAACCTTTCGGCAGTCACAGTCAAATATGAGCAGGATTTCGATGATGAGGACGACAAGCCGCTGTCGAGCTTGAACAGCTGCAGCTCCTCGGGCCTGGCCAGCACCAATGATGCTAGCACCAGCGCCAGCACCGAGAAGCTGCTCCTGTTGTCCGGCATACAGCCGCTGGAGAGTACGAGCACCACCGACAGCAACGACTCGCCCAGCATGGTAAGTTCTCTAATTAAGAATTATTCCTTCAAAAATATAATATTTCTTTTCGGGCATTTTCCATTCAAAATAAAGTTACAAGATACTTTATCTAAAAGATTTTTAATTATCATTTGATTGATATGTTTCTTTATAACTAATTAACAAATATGATTGAGTTGCATTTGAAAAAGCAAACTATGATAAGCTACGTATATTGTACAAGATTTTTAAATTTTATTCATCAATTTCATTTGAGTATATTTTATAAAAAATATAACATTTTTCATCTGTTTTGAAATTTTTAATACTACTTTATTTATTTTACCCTTAATATAATGCACATATTACCATTAATATATCTACTACAACGACTGCGACTAATGTACCATATAATCTACTACTAAATGACTAATATGACTTCTATATTCGCTACAATGTAACTATTACATCTATTAGTATTACTAAACTAACTTCTGCATATAAATACTACTACTGCTATTTTGTATATACTATTACTACTATACTACTCCCGCTACTACAACTTCTACTACTATTACTACATATACTACAGCTACTACTGCAGTAGATGTACTATAACTTTTACTACTTTTTCTACTATTAATCCTATTAATCCTAGTCTACTTTTATTAAAAACATTTATACTACTGCTACTACTACTATTACATAATACTACTGCCTATACTTCTGCTTCTATATACTACGGCTACTGAAAGTTATTAATATTTGCTTACAAGCAACTCAAAATATTTTCAAGTATTTGTAATTTTTTTAAACATTGTTTGTTTTGCTAAAATTAATTAATTTAATTCCTAATATATTTCTTGCTACTAAACTAAGCAAAAGTATCAGCTTATATATTCCGCTCAAACACTCCCAATTCCTGGTGGAAAACTGTGATTTTAAAAGCAAGCCAAGTTTTTCTGCCCTGTCTTTTGGTTTCTTTCAGCCTTTTATTGTGTTTTTTTTTTATGTTTGTCATAAACTCCCACGCTGTCTGTAATTCGAGAGTGGCTCGACACAAATGTGTGGAAGCTGAACATATTCGTGCGCTTTGCGCGAAAAAATAACCGAAGCAAAACTTTGTCGCAATTTGCTTGCTTAATGTAAACATCAACTCGATTCCAAGGAAAACAAACAGCTGCTGTATTGACAACGCGTGGGTTCCTCAACCCTGCAGCTGGCCACTGGCCACTGGCACCAAGCAGTCTGATTTTGTAGGAATATTATTATTATTTAATTTAACAAGCCGTTCGTTCTGTGCTCTGTGCATTGCAGTACACGCCCGTCAAGCAGCCAGCGGACTCCTCCTACAATGTCGTCACCAGCATCGATAATGAGGCCACATTGAGCACGCCCCTGGTACAAAGCAACTCGCTGCTGACACCGCCGCCGTCCAGTGATCAGGGCAAGGGCATTGTCAGTCTGAGCACGGCCAGCAGCTTGGATGCCTTTCTGCAGAACGAGGATAATCTAAAGAATCTGCGCAAGGTGTCCTCGTATCTGGAGTGCGAGAATACGCTGTGTCGCCAGGAGACGCTGCGCGAGCATTTCCACTGCTACGATGAGCCCTGCCAGGGCAAGATATTAAGCAAAAAGGATGACATCATACGCCATCTAAAGTGGCACAAGAAGCGCAAGGAGAGCCTCAAACTGGGCTTTGCACGGTTCTCCTCCGCGGATGACTGCGCGCCCGCCTATGGCGATGGCTGTGCCTACAATTGGAAGCAGACCCACTATCACTGCGTCTACGAGCACTGTCCCAAGGTCTATGTGAGCACCAGCGATGTGCAGATGCATGCCAACTTCCATCGCAAGGACTCGGAGATTGTGAACGAGGGTTTCCGGCGTTTTCGCGCCCACGAGAATTGTCGCATTGAGGATTGCCCCTTCTACGGCAAGAAGATATCGCACTATCATTGTTGTCGCGAGGGCTGCAACCACACCTTCAAGAACAAGGCCGATATGGGTGAGTGATCCTTCAGATCGTATATTCCACTTCAAGTCTACAGCATCTGGTTGCCCCACTCTGCAGACAAGCACAAGACGTATCATTTGAAGGACTATCAGCTGACGCAGGATGGCTTCAAGAAGATACTCAAAACGGAGCAGTGTCCTTTCGAGTCCTGCAAGTTCTCCACGGTGTGCAATCATATACACTGCGTTCGCGAGAACTGCAACTACATCCTGCACTCGAGCAGCCAAATGATTAGCCACAAGCGCAAGCACGATCGCCAGGATGGCGAACAGGCCTATCAGCAGTTCAAGAGCAAACAGGAGGACACGGACGACACCACCTCACTGGATGCCACACCGCTGCCGACCAGTGCCACCAACAGCAATAGCTCCAACTCCACCACACCGCTTTCCTCGCTCTCCGCGGAACACTTTCTGGCACGCAAACGTGGTCGGCCGCCCAAGAAGATTGTAAGTGCCTGCTGCTTGTGAAATTCCCGCCAGCTACTTTATCTATGATTTGCTCTCGCACAGCAACTGCCCGCCGATGCACAGCAATCGGAAGCGAAACGTTTAAAATTGGAGGACACCGACAGCAATCCGGCGCCAACAGCAACGGCGCAGTTCCAGCCCCCGCCCAACAGCAATGCACTCAGCAGCGCTCTCTTCCCCAATCTGATGCCCAACTTTACGGCCGCTGCCGCCGCCGCAGCTGCCGCGGACGCTGCAACGGCTCCGAATTTCCAGCTGACGCATCTGATGGCGCTCTTCCAGCTGCAGAATCCGCTCTTCTATCAGAATCTGTATCCGGGCGCCGCGGCTGCCAATATGCTGGCCGTGCCACAGAATGCGTCCATGTTTGGCAATTTGGCCGCCTTCAGCGCAGCGGCTGCTGCGGCAGCGGCGGGCGTCCAGCAGCAACCGAAGAGCGAGTTTAGCATTAAGCCCGAGCAGTTCAAGGAGTAGATGGGAACGTCCTAGCGCTCAACATATGCCAATAGATGTATATATATATGTGTGTGTATAGAGGTAGAGGTAGTCGTAGTTATGTAGAAGACTGACTGATTCGGACGTTTTGTTAGACAGCGGCCAGGCATCAGGCTCTAAGCAGGTTTTCGTTTAAGGGGTACCGGTGAAATGTTGATGCAATGGCCAGGACGTTCCTTTGCCATTTTTTTTTTTTTTAGCCCATATCTTCTGCAAAAGCCAACTCAGCCACATTTTGTTGGCTCAAAAGCCTTGACAAAATGTTGCTGAATTCGCTTTTGTATATATTTGTTTATTATTTAATTAAAGCCTTTTTTTATCCAAAAATTTCAGCAATTCGAACAAAAACAAAAAAATAAAACTTGAATTTAGTTTAACTAAAACTGTGATGTTTTCCTTAGCTTAACTAATTTGCTTGTCCTTAAAATGAATGTACAAAAAATATTTGTAATTTTAGTTTAAGCGGGAATTAGGAGCTTTTCTCTGAATGGGGTTAAATCAATACAAAAATAAAAATTTCTTTGTGATATGTTAATGAAAATTCTTGTTTTAATTTCGGATTATCCTATGAATTTTGTTTTAAGAAATATATGTTTAATATTTAAAAATCGAAAAGTTCACAATTGTTTTTAAAATTTATTTATTATATATTTATCATAGCTGAAGCGAAGTTTTCCTTTTCGTCCACTGATTATCTAAATTTAAATGAAACTCCCAGCTGATGTACCATGACTTTCATGTTTCCATATCGGCAAAACTGAATGCCATATTCTGTGCAGCAGCAGCTGCAGCTTGTGAAGGCAGGCGCTGCTTGTGAGGAAGCTGATCTTGTAAAGAGGTGAAAGAAGAATAGGATGCCCTTCCTTTAGATTGACCAGGCCTATATCAGTGGCGACATGGATTTAGTTGGTTGCTCAAAAAATATATATATGGTTTTGGAATAAAGAATAATAAAACTATATTATTTGAAATTATATGTTTTGACCTTGCCACAAACTTGTGTTCATCCCCTATACAACTCATAGCACAGAAGAAAACAATATTTTGAATGCCGATTAAATAATTGTTATTGAATTTATTACTGTATTTTATATGATTTCCTTTACTCATTGACTAAACACAAATCAGCTACACAAAAACTCTGGACGCTCTATGAAAAAGAGTCCAGCTAAGCAGTTTACTTAACAATGATGCATTTTATCAATTTTCGTATATACTTATTTAATTTTTCTTATATTCGCATATAAGTACGTATATTTAAACAATCAATATAGTTAATCCAAGTCCAAGAAGAGATTTCGAAATTTATATAGCTACTATAATGTACACATACATGCAAATGTTATCGGAATTTATTTAATATGCTGCTGGATTTTGGATTTTTGTTTTTGTCGTTTACAATAAGAACCAATAGAAATAATGTACAAATGATTATTTGATAAAAAATTAGGCGAAACAGTTTAAACTAATTAACTAAAACTAAAGAAACATTAAATTCAACAAGTAAGACTAATTAAATTCGTTACAAATTAAGTATGTTGAACAATAGATAAACTTAAACGAAACTAGAGACTGCGAGACTCTGCTAAGCAAATTCCTTATATCAGGCCATATATATAGGGATTTATATATAGTCTAAGCGTCGATTTGATTAAGGTGGTTTACGAACAATTTATATTAGCCAAAATTTATAAAATTCTTGTTGCAAAAGCATTTATCCAATTCCATGTATAAGTACTAGTATATATATATATATATATATATAGGTATGTATATATAGGGTCTGTATATATATATATATTTATGTATATAACGTTTAGGTAATTTCGGGGCGATTTCCATTACATATTTATGTATGGCAACAATTTGTGCGCAACATGCAACATAATGAAATTTGTAGCTTTTGTATTTTGTTGATTTTATCTATTTTTGCATCTAAGCCGCAACTGAGGTGTACTGGTAAGCGTTAGGGCGTCTAGGGCTGCTCAGGAATCGTCTCCCGGTAGAGGCTACGCAGCAGCTTGCTGATGAATCAGAACCGTTAGCTGCGACCGTTAGGCGCCGCCGGTGGCGCCAGTTCCATCGTTGGAACCGCGCTGCTTGGCGGCGGCAGCTCCACCGTTGGATCCGCGCTGCTCGGCGGAACGCCGGACAAGGTAATGGCACGCATATGATGAACGGGCCGTATGGACTTGAGCTGTGTGGTGCCCTTGAAGCGGACATTAACATCGCCCCCCACCATGCTGAGTGGATGCATGCCCGGCTCTGGCTCCGTTACTTGTTCGTGTTCGTGTGGTGCTGTGGTTATGGCAATATCGCCACTATAATATGGACGCATGGTCATCGGCGAGAGGGCTGTGGGCGTGCTTTTATAGCCAATGCGACTGAAGAGGCTGCCGGTGTTGATGCTGTTGTTGCTGTTGCTGCCAGTGTTGCTGCTGCCGGTGCTGTTGCTGCTAGCGTTGCTTGCAGTGCTGGGCGGGCTGAGGGGCGTGCCAACGCCAGAGTCAACCTCCAATGGGCTCTTGATGTTGGCCACAAACTTATCAACATGATCTGGCAGCTTCAGTTCGTCCAGCTTCGTTTGCATGACGCTGCGTGCGCTGGCATTGTCCAGCAAGCGATTGGGACGCGTTGGAGGCGCAGGTGGGACAACAGTCGGCTCTGGATGTCCATTGGTGTGGTTGCGCTGCTGCTGCAGTTGCTGTTGCTGCTGGCGCAGTTGCTCAAAAAAAGGTGTCTTCTCCTTCTTCTGCTTTTGTGGCGAACCAGGTTCGTCTCTTTCGCTCAGCTCTTCGAGCACCTTGAGTGGAAACCCCAAGTGACTGTTGACCGAAATGGATTTGCCAATTTTGCGCTCGGCAAAGATTGGCTTGCGTCGCTGCCGCTCCAGATCATCCAGCTGCTGCAGCATGCGTCGCACCTCGCTGGGCAGCTCCAAATCCGGATTGTGCTCCACCAGCTGGCCAATGTAACGGCCCAATGTTTGTATCGTCAGCTCCAGGGACTGCACCTGCGACTGCAGCGTAGAGATTTGTGTTTGCTGCGAGGAGCGTGTGGTCTCCAGCTGTGCAATTGACGATTGAGCGAACTGGCAGAATGGCATAATGGAAGTCGGTAATTAAATAGCCATATGGAAAATAAACTTATAGCTACTCACCTGCAGCTGTTGCTCCAGATGCTGATTCGTTGCCTTTTCTCGATTCAGCATTTCGAGATGATGATTTGTCGTGGTTATCTCCTCCTGCAGCACATTGTACTCCACATTGTACTCGGCCAGCTGCTTGCTAATTTCTAGACCAAATACCAACTTCATGGTTTGCTCCATGCAGTGCAAATCCATTTTGGGCACCACCGACTTCAGATAGTCCATAATCTCCTCAAAGTTATCGCGCGCGAGCAGCTGCTGCTTGTGCACCGAAAGCAGGGCAATAGCAAACTTAAAGATAACATCGGAGGACTCTAGGAAAACCAGATCGAAAACACGAGCCACAAAGCCCAATGGAAACTGTGAACTGAAAACGGTAAGAATCCAGGGCGCCGCGTATAGAGTGGGCGAGACATCGTTTTGGTCCAGCCACACGTATAAATCGGGCAGATGATCCTTGACCAGACGCGACAGCTGATACAACTGCAGCTGGAACTTCTTCATGTCCGGCAGGTATTTGGTGCGCATATTGCGGCAGAACATCAGATGCTTCAACAGCTGAAAGGCGCTCGCCTCGTCGCACTGCAAGGAAGAGGCTCGTATTAATACGAAGTCGAAAACTCTAACAAGGATCAACCTACATGCAACAGCAGCACGCCGCAAATGAAGCCCAGTCCCTGGCAGTAGCCCAGCTCTGGATCGAGTATGGAGTAGGCCTTCAGCAGATTGAAAAGCGAAAGCTGACCCAGCCCCAGCGGATCCTTGTAGAACTGGTGGTTGGGAAAGGTGCGTCCTAGATCAATAAATATCGCATGCTGATGCTCGGTCAGATGCTTGAGCAGCGTTTGATACGGCGTATTGTAGTTGGGAAAACGTTTCGTGTCTACCGGCGCCATGTTCATCGAGTGCTGCTCGGCCAGAAAAGTCCAGACATCGCCGCGCTTGGAGCGGGGCACTCCAGTGCGTATGGCATGGCGCAGCACCTTGGGATCCTTTTTGTTGCCTATCTGCATGGAGTTGCGCTCAATGATTTGCTCCCAGCGCTCGATCAGCTGCTTGTCGCATGGCACAATCTCCTCGTAGTCCAGCTTGATGCGCTTCAGCTCGTTCTCGTTCTGGCGCGCCTGCAGCATGGCATTCTCCGTTTCCATGCGGTTCAGCATAATGGTCTGTCGTATGGCCGTGCGCCACAGTTCGCGCAGCTCGGCTGCATCCCTCTTGCCGCGTTTGACAGCTGAAAGAGATTGATTCGATTGGATCACAAGAGGAGATCAGAGCAAGAAGACTTACGTTTGCGCATGGGCGACAGGTACTCGGTGGGCGCCTCGCTGTCTAGACCCTTGGAGGGTGTCACCACGCTGTTGAGTATGGCTTGGCGCCAAGAGCCCTGATGAGTTTCCGCCTCTTTCGGACTGTTGCCCACTTTGATAAAGCTGCAAATAAAGGAATTATTAAGTGATTGGTGTCAATTAATAGATTGGGTATATGCTGTATCTATGCAGCCTAAAAGGTAAGGGATCCCTTTTGGTTTGCAAGGAAATGCTAGGACGTAGACTTTCGACCTCCCTGCGAGATTTTGTTGTGTGCGTATCGGACTAGCAAGCGAACGGTCATCGGTTCAAATCCATACGTAAGTTTATTTTATTATTTTCTTTATTATTATTCACAAAAAACTCATGAATAATAAATTTAAACAAGTAAGAGGTTCTAGTCGGGAGCTCCCGACTAGGGCATAACTTGAACCCTCTTTTTCCGGATCTGCGCAGGCACTAGGAGCACCTACATCTAAAATTTTAAGTATATAGCTTTTATATGTTCTGAGATCCTTGCGTTCATACATACGGACGGACGGACGGAACGGAACGCAAATAAATGTGTTTCATCCATAATAATTAAATTCTTCCGTAGATGCCGACCTGAAGACGCGGTCTAGCGGAAGCGCGATCTTTGGAGATCAAGACGGAGACCAAGAAGGCGACATTATAGACGCGTGATGGCAGCCTAAACAAACAGTTGCGGCAGGCTAACTAACAAATTTGCACTTACATGTCCATCATGGGGCTCTTGAGCTGCTCAACGCTGGGTTTGCTGCTGGGGCTGGCGCCCACAGTGTTTGAGCGCGAACGGAAACCCTCGGGTGGCGATTCGGCGCCCAGTGGTTCGGCGGAACCTTCGCGTATATCGCGCAGATTGTGTGGCGGTACGGCAATGTCGTCCTTGGAGGGCTTGCGCTTGAGCAGATTGTCAAAGGAGTTGGTCAGCGAGCGTTTGGCCTTCATGAAGATGGTGCTGCCGCCCAAATACTGATTGAGAAACTCGGAACGATTCTCGGCGGTGTCGTGGACGTGACGCTGCTGGCGCGACTCACAGTGGGCGCGCAGCAGCATCATGAGGAACTGATTCTGCTCGGCAACCGGGGAGTTGGTCTTCTCGGAGCCGCAGTACTTGGCCCACACCATTTCCTGCTCCTCATCGCTTAGCGTGGCAATGCGACGCCAGATCATGGCCTGCGTCTTCTTCTCGGAGAGGCCCTCCACGTCGGTGCAGAGCTTGTGGTACCAGAGCATGGGGCAATGTTCGCAGCTGAAGATTTGCGTCTCCTGCTTCTTCTTCTGCTCGGCACAGGTGTCAAAGGCCTGAGCAATAGCCGCCACGATGTCATCGCAGACGTGCTCCGACTGGCACTTAAAAACGTAGCCAATGTAGCCCTCGTTGTTCAGCTCGCGACAGATGATGCCAAAATGATCCAGCGACTTCTGGCCGTGCACACAGCTGGCCACATCCTTGAAATCCTTGTAGAGCAGCACTTGCTTGCGATCCGGCGAGATGAGCCGTAAATCACTGCGCCCCACCAGGAAGACCATGGTGCGATTCTGTTCCGCATACGGCGGTATGCAGCCCTGCGAGGCGGAACGATCCCTCAGCTTTGGTATGCTATAAGGGAGGTACAATCAGGAGAGGATTAGCTGTGCGTGCATATATAGGTGCTCTGTAATTGTGGGCGTGGCATGCTAATGAAAAAGGCGCTGGTGCAAGGCAAAAACATAACAGAAAACAAGCGAACGAAAAAGAAAGACCTGAAAAAGTCTAACCAACTAAACGTGCGTGGGCTCTGGACTAGGTCGCCACTTACTTCTCCAGCGCATAATGCGCCTGCAATTGAGTTGGAGCAGCTGCAGCTGCCGCTGTAGTTGCTGTTGTTGTGGCTACCGCCTCGCCTTGATCCCTGGGCGGCGTCGGCTGTTTGTTAACAATGACATTGGGCGCCTCCTGTTGCTGACTAGAATCCTCCGGGCTGCTTGCGTTTTTATAGACGTTTTTGAATAAGTTTTGGTCAGGGGGGGGGGGGGGGGGGGAGATTTGGGGGGTATAAAGGACAGACAACAGGCAGTTTGTTATGGGCATACTTACACCTCCTTTTGTCCCAACTCCATTTGGCTTTGACCACGCAGCAGTGCACGCTTGGCTGGCGATTTGTTCTCCTTGTTGGAGGAGGTGGAGTCCAGTTGTTGTGGTACGGCATCCGCCTCGGCGCCTGTCAGCTGTAGTTCAACCTGTGGCTTGGGCTGTGACTCCTGCTCCTCCTCGTCCACCTCCTTGATTTCATGGCCCTTGAGTGCGCCGCCGGCGCTCTTGGCTTCAATCCCGATGCCGCCCTCGCTGCTCAGGGACATCTTGCGATTCTGCAGGATCCGCAAACGCTGCGCATCGTAGGCCTTGAACTTCGGCAGGGCGTCGTCAATGAAGGTGTTGGGCACACGCTTTTGCGAGACGCGTATCTTGCCCACATACATGACCTCAAAGAAGTGTGTGTGATTTGGCGAGATGTCCGCCAGCAGCGACAGATTGCTCTGTGCCGACGTGGACGTGGGAATGTTAACAGTGCCCGAGGAGTTGCTCAGCCCATGCGTATACGATTTGGATGCCTTCATCTTGGAGCTCACCGGATTGGGATTAGCATCGTGTTGGGCATTGCGCAGCGCCTCGCTCATCTTCAGATTTGTCGCCGGCGTCGCATGTATGCCATTCAGCGAACCATGAGCGGCGCCTCCAGCACCAGCAATCAATGTCTGCGGTATGCTGCCCACCGAGCCGCCGAGCGTGTGCGCTGGATCGCGCATCTGATGCATCAGCTCGGCCATCTGCAAAATAAGATAAGAGTGAGAGAGCGTATTAAAGATTAAGCTTCAAATCGGATTGCCTGGACAACAGACATGCAGACATGCGGTGAGCACAACAACAAGCTACAGACTGTACAGCCAGCCACTTCATTACGGATGCACATGCTGCGCAGCGTCTATCCCGCCGCCCACCTCACAGGTTGGTTGGATGACTAAATGACCGTTCGGTGCGTTTTTGTGCTTTGGTCCTGTCCAGTTTCCCGTCTGTCATTCCATTCAGTTTAATGACTTTTGTCTTTAGTTTATGACACTTTTTATGGCTTTGCCAGTTAAGGGTATTTTTTGGTCGTGACTTTGCGGCTTGCAATGAAATTTTCGGGCATCAAATTCATGACACCGACAAAGTAGATAGATGTACTTCGGTTTAGTTAGGTTAGATTAGGTTAGGTTATGATTACGTTATTTGAAGGGGGACAAAAACTCGACAGCTCGGGAGTCTGTATAAAATTAACATTTTCATGACACTGCGCTCATAAATATTCGAGACGATGCGGCTGCAAAATTGAATTGTTGTAAAGTGTTGCGGGGTTAAGATAAAATAATCCTAAAGAATCTCATCGCTGCTGATTTTTTTTCATCTTAAAATGCAGATTTATTAAATCAGATAGATAATAGTCTCTCGATTTATATCTAGCTACGATAAAGACAACAGTTTTGGAAGATAGCTAACAACATTTTTCTATATTTCAGTTCAGTTCAATTGGAAAGGTTATTAGTGGAACAGGTTTGATCTATTTATCTGTACTTCAAGATGTTGTAGGGGCTCAATAAAGGATGGTTACTGCCTTAGTTGAGTTAGATACGTTAGGTAAAATTTTGAATAATTATATAACCTTGACAAATATTAGAAATCCTCTATAATTCAAATAAATTTTTCAGCCAAGCATTCAGCGTATATGTTAAAGACTATACGAAATTGATATAGCATAAGTGTTGGGATATTTCTCCCAGTATCTTATTGTTGAGTTTTTACTACAGACTTTACGACATTCTTAAAAATCTGATGAGAACTTTTAAAATGTTTCTGTGCATTCTTATCAAGTCATTTTACAGATTCTAGCATTTATCTCGCGCTTTTTTGGTTACCTTCAATAAATATGAAATTTTTAAAGTTATAAATATATTCTGATTTTCTTCGAAGCGAGCGAATTTTGCATTATCACGTTCACTATTCATGTGCAGACATCATGTCTGCGCTGCTTCGCAAATATCTGAGCAATGCATCGTAGCGGGGGAGCAGCAGCTGAATCTGATGAATCTCCCAATCTGAACAGCTGTCCGCTGCGTGTTGCGATAGTTCCCTAGAGAGAATTAAGAAGAAAAGAGAGAACTTTTTCTCTCACAAGCGGGCTCTGATCTCTTTTGGCTGCCCTCTGGCCCAATTGTGCGGCATTGAAATGCTGCCAAAGAGCCAAAACAAATTTGCCAGCAAATTACAAAGTCCAATGTCAGTGCATAGTGCCGCTGTCTAAAAGATATGCCGTGTATCTGTGAGATACATTAACTGCAATGACAACTAATTGTCATTTATCAGCACTTTAGGGCAAAAATAACGTAACGAACATACAAAATTAAATTGCGCTACTTTTTGGCTATCGAAATTGAGTTAAATGTATCTTATGGTTTCTTTTCTCGATTTTGGTGCTGTCTCTGCTTTGTCTATATGAAGCTGATCAGCCGCTGGCCGAGTGATCGTGACGTCATTTCTTTGCAGACTCTACAAGTTGACAAATTTCCGAATATATATAAATACATATACATGTGTAGTCGCTTATATGGCTGATAGGTAGCAGGGACACGCTTAGCAACGCGTCTTTGGCGGTTTGTTTGGCTAATATACACACATATTTACGTATATATATGTACACATAAGTTCACACATATATCCATTTATATATGTGCATGCATACACTCCTTCAAGTATGTTTTTCCTTCATTTTTGTTTACATATTTATTAAAAAGTATACTCCAGTAAAGGCTCGACTGGCAGATACCCTGCACCTAGTGATCGATACTAAGTATAAACATATACCAGCGAATAAGAAGGGAATAAGAAGTAGAGGTGCCTTATCTTTATAGATGATAAATACTTTGGGTATGTTTTCAAAGACAGCTGAAAGATAGTTTGTCGATATGCAAAAGTAGAGTATACGGGCTTCCAAATTCTAAGACTTGCAGAATAGTTTCGCTATCGTTTTAAGCATCTGGTTAGTTTCCATCGTTTCTGCAAGGTTTAACGCTTTTCAATCTCCTAGCCGATACACCTGGTTAGCACGTGAGCGGCATTACCTACTCGAAGACTCATTTTCTGATCTTGTCAGACATATAAATATATAAGAATAAACACATACACATAGCACTTTCTCGCTCACTAAACTAAAGAAACTTTTTATAGGTTGAAAAATATGTAAGAGATTAATGTGACAGATATTCTATATGTGGAGCAATAAATCTTGTAAAAGTAAAGGCAGAATTTAAGTTAATGGCAGTCGATTTTAGGGTCAAAGTTGTTTTCTGCTTTTAGCTTTTTTTAGAAACTGTTCTGCCCTACTTAGGTGCATACAGGGTATATACTGAGGTTGGCAAACAAACAAGGTACTGTCACACATATTTACCTTTAATTTTTGTACGAAACATTTCACAGGAATTCAATTCAACGTCACGTTCACATCGCGTTTTGTGCGCATTTTTCTAGACGCCTTTTTTTTTTTCATTTTTTTGTTTCCATGAACATTTGTAAATGTGTGTATGTACGTGCTTTAACTTTTTACTGTAGTCGATTAAAAGATTGTTTTTGATCTTTTGTTAAATGTGACGACTACCCATCGTTATGTCTGTATATACATGCATATATTTAATGCAACTTCAACAGTATTTAAACTGCGCGAAATGACAAAAAATATTTGATGAGCCACAAAAACTGAAATTACATGACGGGGGCGTGTTTTCCGACAGATTTGTGCTTTTCACATACCCGACAATTGTTTTTTCTGCCGGATTGTGCCGCCGGATTGTCTGGCCTCATGTCCTTCAGGCATTTGCCATGACATGATTTACAAGCCAGACAAATGCATTTAATATTTATTAAAGTGTTTAGCATGTTGTCAAAATTTGTTTTCGCAACAAAATTAAATTTGAAAATCAAATGTAAGCGCAAGCTGCTAGCGATTGACTTGGGAATAGCCCTAACTTCAAATTGTTTTATGTTTAATATAGCAATTGTTAGCAAGTAATTTAATTATTTGCAGTGTTCATTTTCTGTATTCTAGCTGCTTGTTTCAAATTGTAATTTAAGCCGGATTTGTTGAACAAATAATAGACTGAACCAAACCAGCGAAAAGTGTTTGGTGGAAAAATAAAATGTTATCGCTTTTTTGTCTCCCAAGGCGAGAGAAGAAAAACGAAAAACCTTTTATCTTTCGTGGTAGACATTTAGACACATAATTTTGGCTAGGAATTTACTGGAACGCGAAATTGCCGTCGTATTTTCTGCTGCATTATTGCAGCAGATGGCATATAGAATACTTTCCAATATTTGCAAATCTCGCATGTCAAGAGTCTGAGCCACAATTTTAATGTGTTATTATGAACTTTTGTTGCGACTGTTATTGCAACTCGTTTTGCTTTATTTTCGCTGTTTTTGCTGGCTTATGGCTTTTTTATGCAGTTCGCACAGTGTCTGGAGGATTGCGAATGCGAATGCGAAAAAAAAAATACAAACAAACAAACCAATTGCCGCATGAATTTTAAAGAGCACCCAAAGGTTTATTGAACCTTCGGCATATGTTTAATGACCGCATGACAAGCTATTCTAAATGTTAATTGTAAATGTCAAATCAAACAGAAAGTGCCATTGTTTACATTGGCAGTTGGTTAAAGTTGAAGACTGTTTACCAAACTGCTTCCTTAGCCAATTTGTAATGCCCTGCGATTCGTTTCGAGCGTTTAGTTTAATTTCTTTGTGCGCAAATTGAAAGCAACCTGTTCACAATTCGCTTTGGATTTGTTTACAAATAAGCACACACACACACACACACACACACATATATATTCAGCTTTTGTTTATTTAACGCCAATTTGCAATTATGACAGAAATATACATATATCGTCGAATATTATATAAACTCAATTGGCAAAATATCAGAGAAACTCGCATGCGAAATGTGGAAAATCTTTGACGTAGCAATATTATGAAAAATGCTGTAATTAAATTTAATACGCTACTTTAACATCCAGCTTTAGCTATAATTTTCAGCAAACTATTTCCATGCTACTCTTTAATAATTCCTAATTATAGTTTATTAGTTGTGCAATTTACGACTGCATTTTTTTTATAAGAAAGATTATTTGTTGTGTTGCTCGGCGATCCACAAGGCCCGAACGATTGTACCGGTTCGGTGCTAATAGGATCTGGCGATTATGAAAAACTGCTAACTGAGGCACGCTTAAGCTTTATCCAATGATAATTTACATATTTAGAATTCGATTTGATTAAAAGCCAGTAAAGTAAGTTCCCATCATAATGATAAACTTGTTTTATGTTAAACTTCCAAGCTGTTTACTATTTACCAACACTGTTTGGTGTTGCCAGTATATTGTATTGCAAGATGGCAATACTGCAATATTAATATGCTTGCTAAATATTTAAGCTGACAGATAAACATCATGGCAAATCAAAATAAGCTCGCTGACATTGACTTTGACAAGAATCAAAATTAAATAAAATGTTTTCAAATACAATATTCTAAAATAAATTTCAGTTTTTATTTATTTATATTTTTTTTGTTTCACTTTGGAACTGCGTCACAACTTGACCAACGAATTTGTAAAGCACTTTGGACAACCTTTCGAGTGCCTTGAAAAACTTTACAGGATAAATGTTTACCAGACATTACGCTCCTTTGAGCACGACATGGTCAGGGTCAAGTGTGGTCCACAGACGCCAAATTCAGTGGAAAAAC